GATTGCGGAGCAGGGGCTCGGAGCATGTTCCCAGCCCCGGCTCCACGATTGCAGAGTGGAGGCTGGGAACAAGCTGGGGCTGAGAGCTTCCTGCTCCAAGGGCAGGGGGATATTGTCCCTGTCTGGGCTCTGGTGATGGGGTCCACCCCAGTAACAGGCAGCTCCCAGGGGCAGGAAGCAATCTTCTGCCCACTGCTGCCCAGCAGACTGGGAGCAAATTTGCTCCTGGTCAGTCGTCTACACATGCTGTACTGCACAGTATGTATTCAGCAGTTAATTTGCTACTTGGATTTGCACGTAACAAATTAACTGCTGAGTAGAAGAAATTACTGTGCAGTAAGGGTCATTACATGTAGACAGTGACACTTACTACACAGTAATTAGTTCTACTGTGCAGAAAAGCATCTTGTGTAGATGTGTCCCTTGAGTAAATTTGGTCTAGCAAAGGTACAAAGATATCCAAGTTTGTACCTCTATGAATTCATTAAGTCCCTTCTGTTCTATAATGACATCATGTTAAAATGAAATTCACCATATAGTAATAGCAGTCTATATTAGCAATATTGAAAAAAAGGCAATAAGCTGAGTGGTAAGCAGACAGCAGTTGCTCTGGGATAACTAGCCGAGGTGTGGGACTTGAAGATTTGTTCTAGTGACTTTAAGGTGGCTGATTGGTGCTAGAGTGTTTGTCTAGTGCCTAGTGTGTGTGTTGGGGGGGCTTCCCCCCCACTTGTGGCAGGTTGTTGTGGTAGGGGTTTTTTTGGTTTGGGGGGGAGGGTTGCCCCTTGCCCTTGCCTTTTTTATCTCATTATAGCATAGGTGTTCTCTAGGTAGCAAAAGATGCACAAATGGATCTTGGGTCAGCTGTTCTGACCTGTGTGGGAAGTGCCATGTTCATGTTCCTCCCACAGGGTCAGGAGCACTACATTTGCACCAGGTGTAAGCTGGTGTCTGCCCTGGAGGAGAAGACTCAAAGGTTGGAAGCACGGGTATCCATGCTGCATTGCATCAAGGACTAGGAAGATTACATGGAAAAGAGTTATGACAGGCTGGTACTGGAGAGGCCAAGGGGCAATGAGAAGTGGCAACATGTGACTACTCAAAGGAGGGTCCACAGAATTGAAGAGCAACTGGTTGAAGTCAGCAACTGCTTTGTGCTTTGCACTTTGTGGTGGAACTGCCGAGGAATAGACAGAGGAGAGGACATCTTCAGGCATGAGGCAGAGGAGGCAGCAGCCTAGAGAGCAGGAAATGCAAGGCCCCAAAGCCAGGGGCTCCAGGATCACTGCATCAAGAAGGATGAGAAGAGTGGTGGTGGTTGGTGATTGCCTTCTATGGGGGGACAGAGGCATCAATCTGTTATCCAGATTCGGAAGCCCAGGCAGTGTGCTGCCTTCCTGGAGCCCAAATTCAGGATGTCACAGAAAGACTGCCAAAGTTCATCATCCATCAGACCACTACCCGTTCCTGTTCGTTAATGTAGGCACCAATGATACTGCCGAGAATTACACTGAATAGATCAGAGGTGACTATGAGGTTCTTGCCAGGAAAACTAAGGAGCTTCGTGCATCAATGGTAGTGCTGTTATTAATTCTTCCTGTGGAAGGCAAGGGTCCAGGCAGAGACCATTGTGAACGTGGACGTGTAGCTAGAAGTGAACATGTGGCTGAGACGGTGGTGTTGACATGAAGGATTTGGCTTCTTTCACAATAGGCAGATGTTCTTTGGAAGAAGACTGATATCAAGAGATGGGATTCATCTGAAGAGAACAGGGAAGAGTATCTTTGGGCATTGTCTGGCCAACCTAGTAAGGAGGGGTTTAACTAGGTTCCATGGGAGATGGTGATCAAAACCCTCCAACAACCCAACACACAGTCCAGAGGGGAATGGACTCAAGAAGCAACTCTGGGAAATGGCCAGAGAGCTACAGAACTACAACAAGCATCAGAAAAGGGAGGCAAATAGGTCAAAATGTAAAATATGTTCAATGCATGTATAAAAATGTTAGAAGCATGGGGAATAAACAAGATGTTCTGGAAGCTGCAGCCTGTGAAAAAAAAAGATGACCTGACTGGCATCACAGAAACCTGGTGGGATAGCTTTTATGACTGGAATGTCAACATCAAGGGTTATGCTGTTTCGGATGGACAGGGTTGGGATAAAATGTGTTGGTGTTGTCTTGTATGTCAAAAACACATACACTTCTTCCCTGGCTTAGGAGGAAGACTGCAAAATGAAGCTCCAGTATAATGGTGGAGATTTATTATAGGGTACCACATCAGGAAAAGTAGATGAATCAGGAACTCTTCAAGCAGGTGACAAATCTATCCAATAGCTATGGGATGGTACTGATGGGAGACTTAATTTTTCTGGACATCTGCTGGAAGAACAATGCAGTCAAACATACGATGTCAAGCTTGTTCCTAACTTGTGTGGAGGACAACTTTCTGTTTCAGAAAGTGAAGGATACAACTAGAAGTTCTTCTATCTCAGATCCTGTTCTGACCAACAGGGAAGAATTGGCAGAGGATGTAAAGGTGATAGGTAACTTGGGAGGAAAAAAAGGTGATCTGATAGAGTACAAGACACTGGCCTCAACTAAAAGCCTACCCAGCTCTGGGCTGTTGCCTCATTCAGGCCATGAGCTTCCCTTAGTTCCCCCTGGGTGGCTCCAGGGAACAGCTCAGGTGCTTGCTTGTCCATCTGCTGCAGACATTTCCTTCAAAGAGCCTCTTACACTTCAGCATGCTCTGGCTCAGGCTCTGGGATTATATGCATGGAAGCTGTGCCCCCTTTTTGGTCATGTGCCTTCCCCAGCTCTGCACAGGGTTTTCCCTGTCAATCAAGGGCCAGCCTGCCCTCCTGCAGCTGTGGCCCCACACAGCAGATGAGCCTGCTGCATCTTCTTAAACCCCACACAGCCACAGTTCCCTCTCCTTCCCTTCCCTTACACCCAAGGTTTGGGTCCCCTCTTACCAGCTGCCATAAAGAAGAGGGAAGGCACCTTCTCTCTCTTGCTGTCAAGAGGACACAGACTAATGGCTTGAAGTTGCAGCAAAGTAAGTTTAAACTTCACAATGAGACAGTGGAATAGACTGCTTAGGGAAGTTGTGGACTCTCCATCACTTGAGGTGTTCAAGAAGAGGTTGGACAGGTCAGGGATGATCTACCTATGTTCTGCTATGGGTATTTCCTATGCTTTTTGGTTTTGTTAGTTGCCCTTGCCCCTTCCTCCTCCCCCACCCCCTTTCTGGTATATGTGTCAGGGTGTTTTTAAGCACCTTCCCAGAGGCATCTGGGGACTTTGACTTGAGTGTGTCAATGCTCCTGTTGAAAGCAAAACCAAAGGTTTCTGGTTAGAGGACCCTACTTACCCCTCTACTCAGTCAGACCAATCACCATATTTGGGGTCAGGAAAGATTTTTACCCCATGGTCAAACTGGTATGGACTATGGAGGTTTTTGCCTTCCTCTGTAGCAGGGGATGTGGCCCTCTACCGAGGATTACTTGAGTATATATTGACAACATGCATAGAATCTGCAGGACGTTGGCTGCCACAGTTCCCCTGCTTTACCTGTGGCAGGTTAGGGTGTTAGGTCTGTGCTGTCGGGGCTGGTGGTAGTCTTATGTAGAGTTTCGATTATGGAGTATATAGGATGGTTTGGATAGAGATAATCCTGCCTCAAGCAGAGGGTTGGACTAGATGTCCTCTGGAGGTCCCGTCCAGCCCTACTTCTCTATCATTCTATGAATTACCAAATATTTTGCCTTCATGAACTCAGAAATCAGATAATTCTAAATGTTACAATTATTACCACAAATCTGATCCTCATTCATGTTGTATAGTTTACTATATATGTTTAATGTCTTAAGAATTACACGTAAAGAAAACAGAAATAAAACATAGTTAATGTTGTGAACACAACTCTAACGTCAAATTTTAATGCACTGGGGGTGTAAAATATTGCCAGGTTAGTGCTCCATTAACTCTATTAGGCTAAAAACAGCCATTACATTTGCCCTGAGATAATCCATTTTATCCTGGGACAAAGTGCAATCGTTCAGACATCCACATCCATTATCCCAGAATAAAAAGGTTCACGGGATAAGAAGTACTAACAGTTTATCCCAGGGCACCACAAAATGCATCTCAACAGTTATCCTGAGATCACATCATTGAATCAATGGCAGAAAGCGGCAGTGCATTCAGCTGCTCATTAAACCCTAATTAAAAGGATGCCAATCCTTGGACATTTCGGTTCTGGGACAAACAAAGGCATAACTTGTCCAGGGACGAGTGCAACATTTGTTCCTAGCCTTATTTGCGTTTAATATCTGTAGCTGTTTTAAGGAAAGGAAAGCAAGGGACAGCATGGCTGGATCCTATTGCAGGATCAGTGAATAAAGAGTGTTTGTGGAATACTTACTTTAAACATTTATAATTTTAAAAAATTCTGCACTGGTTATTTTAGAATTTGGTTTCATTTCTAATTCTCAGCAAAGTCCTAGAAAAAAAAAATGTCAAATTTGAAGCGTCTATCTTTCACTAATCCCATTATCAAAAAACAATTCCTTGCTAATTTCCCCACATTCAATTCAAAATGCTTATCAAATTTCAACTAAACGTGCAGAGAGAGAGATATTGCATATATTCTTTAGAGTAGACTGACATCAAATTTAATATATTTCAGCACATAGGAAATTTGTCTTAGAAAGTTACAAGTAACAAAAAAAGTTGGAACTGAATTTGGAGTTTGGCCGTCAGCGTAGAAGGTGCCATGGGTATCTGATATGGTAGGTGAGAAACAGTATATCTTGAGAAAAAATTATTTCTTCTCACTCATCTTATTCCCAGAAGCATGAAGACTGCTAGCTACTACATTGTATATTCACTAACCTAAGGGCAAGTGCTATTCTTATTCACATCATTTAGTAAGAATTTACCCAACAATATCCTATGCCAAGGAGTTCCAAAAATCAATGAAATTTTCATAACTTACCTGCTCTCGAATTCTGTATGCTACTGGCAATTTCTTCTCAATGGACTCAACTTCTTCTGGATTTTGCACCTGTTTTAGCATGGAGCCTGTAATGGATTCTGGTTGGCTTTGTAATACTCCGGGGTGAGGGAACTAGAAAATATCCACAAAATATCCATTTTGATCAACTAAGAAACAAATCAGCATCAGTAAAAAAGTGAAAAATTATAGCTTTTAACTTATTCTTATTTTTTGTATTACAGCAGCACCTAGAGGCCCCAGTCAGAATCTGGGTCCCACTGTACAATATACCAAAAAGAGGATCCCTGCCTTGAATGACTTCTAATGGAGAAAGAAAAAATATTTGAGGGAAAAGTGGGTAGGGATGTAAGACACAAGCTGTTTATTAGTTCTGCAGGAATTTTCTCAAAGTTGATATGCAGTGACTGTAAATGTTGTAAGAGTTTCCTTAACACCATCACAACTGCAAGGATTTGTTCTTTATTATGCCCACTGCTTCTATTGCTCTAGGAGGGCGTGACCATAGTATAGGCCACTAAGCACCTTGCAGAAGGAGCTCCTCAGCTTGTAGACTCTTGCTCTTAGAACAAAAGCAATTGACAATCCTTAAGTTTCCAAGACAGCCCCAAGTTTGGGGGCTGTGTCCTGGGAGCCCTGAAAATTTGCTGAAATAGGACTTCTGAGAAATTGATCTTATATAAGACAACAGCCTCCCAGTGTGTTACCTCCTGAACCAGAAACAGCATAGCAAAGCTAATTAGCTTGCACACAGACACACAGTAAGGAGCTACGTATTCAGAACAGAAAATGGTGTGCACTCCTGGTTTCAAAAGGCTGTGGAGCATCTGGGAATACATCCTGGAGTTTGCTCCCCACAAAATTGGTAGCGTTATTTAGAACTTGCAAGAGGAAGCAAAGCACTTGCAAATGGGGCACATGTCCACATGCGTGTTGCTGAAGTGCTTATCACTCAACTGTGAGAGTGTGCTGATATTTAGAGTAACCCAGAGATGAAGCAAATCTAATGTGCAATTCTTCTGAAAGGAGGAGTGGGGGGGAAGAAAAGAAACTGGAGGTAAAAAGAAAGAAGACTTCAGACAGTTTCGAACCTCTGTGGACAGAGATATTTTGTGAAGATCTGAGAAAGACCTTTGTAGAATTTGCAAAGGTAAAAACAGTTTAAACGGTACAGACAATCCAGAACCTAGAGTTCTCTAATTAGTTCCTTTACAGATTGATTTCTAAATCTCTGTAGAACACACATCACTGTGTGTATCACAGTGGGTGGTAAAATGGTGACATAAGAAGTAATTAATCAGTCTCAACCACTGGAAAGCTGATTCTAGTTCTTTACCTCATTGCCGTTCTGTTGGTGAAAATGCTGCAAAAAAAAAGTCTATAAGGGAGCAGATGTATCTTCAAATATTAAATGGAGATTGAATATCACAATCAAAATGCATGACATAGTTCTCTCAGAGCTGCAACAAACAGTAATTAATAACAACCCTTTGCATTTTAAAAAATCTGACCCAAGTGAAATAATCCACCCTGTTCTGGTGGGAAATAGGCAAATAACCGTCATTCTCTCCATTTAAAGATGTAGAATCTGAGAAAGATTCATGAACCCGTAAAAAACCCCAGTGATTTTGGGTCACTTTTGGCTTCTTGATCACTTAGAAAGAAAAGCTGTAAGTTTTTTTTTCCCTTAGAAACAGTAGGAATGGAAAGTCCCGACTCTTTTCTGGGTGAAAAAATGATTTTCTACAGTAACATTTGGGAGCCTGCTTATCAAGGGAGCATTTAGTCTTCAAGCATCTGCTCCTCCCAAAGGCTTAGCTGAGCACATATTACCAAAAAAATACAGTTATAGTTTCGCTAAAATGGCATTTGGTCTTCTCCTTTGTCCCCGTGCTGTCCTTATCCCAGACCTCGGGGGCCACAACTTTCCATGCGAGCTGTGGTTTGGGGGTGGTGGGTTGGGTTGGTTTGGTTTGGGGGGG